TTCCTTTTTATATATATAAAGATATATATTTTTCCTCAGAAAATGGAATTTTATAAAAAGGCATTTTTCTCTTATGTCCATAAAATGATAGAATTCTTACAAGTATAGAAATGTCTCATAAATTATACAGAATGTTCCTTAATTACAGCTCAATGTAACTTGGTACTGCCTCCCTCCCTAAAAAATGAGGGAGAACCAAAAAAATTAGATATATATAACTGTATATATATATTTATGTATTTATATAATATAGACAAATCAAATATATATATATATATATATATATATATATATATATATATATATATCTTTTAAGAATATTGGACCATAAAACTGTGTTCCAAAAGATACTTTTCTATTATAAAATAAGACCAGGGAGAGGAATTAGATATGTAAAATGCATATCTGTTAAAAAAAATATAGAAATCGGGACGCCTGGGTGGCTTAGCAGTTAAGCACCTGCCTTCAGCTCAGGGCGTGATCCTGGAGTCCCGGGATCGAGTTCCATATCAGGCTTCCTGCATGGAGCCTGCTTCTCCTTCTCCCTGCATGTCTGTCTGTCTGTCTGTCTGTCTGTCTCTCTCTCTCTCTCTCTCTCTCTCATGAGTAAATAAAATCTTTAAAAAATTAAAAAAACAAATATGTTTCAGTCTCATGTGCAAAGTAGAGTTCTCTGGTAGTCAAATAATGACATTTGTGACTTTCATTGTGTTTTGCATTCTGAACACACCTTTTCACTGATTGCTTAAAAACTGAATTTAAAAACTTTTAAAAGATAGCACAATTCAGTGATTTCTTGGGAGTTCAAGGTTTACGTCATAGTCGAGTTTACAAATACCATCTAGGCTCTTTTTACTTCTCACCTTTCCTGGTCCTGAGAAGCCACAGATAGTGTGAAGAAGGGGAAGGCCCTACATACATGAGTGACAGGAGCTGGCAATGAGATAGGAGCCTCCATCCGAGTCTCCAGTTGAAAAGTCCATTGTTGGCCTAGATGATATGGAACATAACTTCATGATGACTCTTAGGGGTGGCATTCTAGATGGGGCTAGTCACCTGTCTGGACCTAGTGTAGCTTCCTGCTATGATGATTTTTATTACTCATTATCTCATTCATTCCTGGCTTTGTAAAGTGTGTTGTCAAAACACAAGGTTGTGTACATTTGACCTGGGAGATTTCTTGGCAGAGCCGACCTTTTCCCCTTTGCCTACTTTCCACGTCTTCTACTTAGACATACAGGAAACTTATGGTTGCTCTCCATATCTAATTGTGACCCTCCCCTAAAATTGGGATGTGGTGAGGGTAAGAAAGTGAGTATCCAGCAGTATTCTCACTTTTCCTCATTCCTTATTTCTTTGCCTTTCCCCTCAAAGCCTCCCCTTCCCCTTTTTGGGGGTGCATGAGGCAAAACACAGTAGTGCATTTCATTTCATTCTTAAAACTGTCATCTGCTAAATTTGGTCTAGTGAAGTTCACTTCTATCAGTGTGGGAGATGGAGGTGAGCAAGAAGTAGAACCTGTCATTGCAAATGTCCTCCATATCCTCCTCTTTTCAAATCTCATCTCTTACACTTAAATTGTGGTTTTTAAATATTATAATCAAAAGGCAGGTTTTCTTCTTTTCTTAGTCTTTGATGTAGAAACTGTTGGGGTCATCTGCCAGAGAACTACGTACCATGTATCACTCTACTACATTGCCATATACACAGCAATATCAGCATGATCTTGTGGTTCAAACACTTAGCTGTAGAGTCTGTGACTCCCAGATCAGTCACTTCCCAGCTATATAAACTTGGGGAAGTTATCAACTTCTCTAAACCACATTTTAACCATCTGTAAAATGGGGATAGTAATAGCATTTCATGGTGTTGTTGGAACATGGAATAATAAATCCCTGGTATTTTATAAGTGACAAATAGGTTTTAGAAATTTTCTGTCCCAGAAAAGAAATAGTGAAGAAAGAAAGGATGTGGATATTCAGGAAAAGTCATTCATCAGCTTCTTTAAATAATTCTATTCTAATAGTCTTGGCAACCTGAGTCCTGCGGTCAGTCCTAACAATTCAGTGGTTGAGGTTCTTGACACTTCAAGAATCCTCTAAGCAACTAGCAGAATATTGATAATTTCCTCAGTTTTCAAATGTTAATGATACAGTCATCTTTGCAGTTAAGATTTATTAAGCATGTCCATGATGCTTCTTGAGAGGCGAGTATGAAATACAGCATACACTGTAAAGTGGACATTGGACAGTTCCTCATCAGTTTTCTCTCTTGCCTAGAGAATAAAACAAGAATATAAATGAACATTTGGTGGGTAGAATTTACACTCTTTTCCCTGTGGTCCTAGACTGAAAATTAATTTTCACAGTTATATGACAAATCTAATAAACTCTACTTTTTCTCTATTTCATTAGATTATTATCAATTCTACTTCTACCTTAAGAAACAAAGCCTTCTAAACTAGATATTTCCTTTGGGGATTAAGTCACTAAAGACAATGAAGACTTTAAAAGCTAACAACCCTTCTGGGGGAGAAAACTTTTTTTTTTCAATTGTGTTGATTATTATTTTAAAGGCTTGTCATCTAGTGAATTCTTCGGTTTCTCTTTGATTCTTACCTACCTGATGAATTTGGATGTCCATAAAGATGAATAGTAACATTTGCTATACTTTCCATGTTAGACATCCATTGGTTGATTTTGCTTCAAAGTAACTTAACTCCTTTGTAATATTAAGTTCCTCTAATTTCCTACCTCCCTGCCTTTTATTTTCCTCTGGAGAAAACCCTTCCAGGGCATGACCTAATGAATTCTGGTTCAAATTTCCAAGTGAATTTGAACCAAAGTGATTCTATAATTTGGTGGAGGGAACCTTCATTAAATACCCTGGCAAGGGAATTTTTACTGTTTTATACCAGACTAAAGTACTTTTCTTGACATATTGAAATTGAACTTCCAACATTTATGAGAATATAAATTGCAACAGCACGTTGTAACTGTCATGAGTCCAGTAGAGCCTTAGGTCAAGGGTTTTTACTTTCTCTATAACCCCATTAAAAATAGCAGTGTTTTTAATTATTTTTCCTTTAAAAATTAGAAAAATATGACTTGGTCTCCAGAGAGATTTTATCTTCACTTATTCCTAAAATTTATATGGTTGCATAGTATATGTCTTTATAGTTTTTATTTGCACTTGACCAAAGTGCAAATTCAATTTTATAGGCTAGTGAACCTACTCTTTTAAAACCTGAATGTGATTTTCTAATTGACAGAGTTGATTTTTGTTTCTTCTCTTTATTCCTGACCTCTCTGCATCTTCTCACCTCAAAAGCTTCTTCCCTCCCCCTCCCCTGCCCACCCTGTTTTCATATTTATCTATTTGTATGCAGGTATAATTAACATGCAACATAATTATGTTAGTTTCAGGTGTACAATATAACAAATATAATGATTAACTATTTCTATATATTACTCAGTGTTCATTAGGGTAAGTGTACTCTTAATCTTCATTATCTATTTTACTCATCCCCCTACCCATCTCACCTCTGGCAACCCCCACTTTGTTCTTTGTATTTAAGAGTTTGTGGGAGGTGGTTTGTTCTCTTTTTTTTTCTTTGTTCCTTTTTTTCTTAAATTCCACATATGAGTGAAATCATATGGTATTTGTCTCTCTCTGACTTTACTTGGCGTTACACCTTTTAGATCTATCCACGTTGTTGCAGATGGCAAGATCTCATTTTTTTTGTGGCTGAGTAATATTCCATGGAATTCCCATCAGAGACTTCATAAAATCACAGTTTCAAAAGAAACTACTCCATTTTAACAGCAGACCCCAAGCCATTTACTGTTATTGTTCACATTATAGGTATGCTGTATACATCATCTGAAGTTGAATTTGACATTTTGTGTAGCATCTCAGTACTCTGCAAATATAGTCACCTGATTACAGTACAACTGCAAGAGCTTCTAGCCCTTGTTATCTACCATCTTTGAAGGTTTCCTAAAGCAGCATGGCATGATTGAAAAACATACTCTGTTTTGATGGCTAATTGGCCAGGCTTCCACCTGACCTTGACATTTGATTTCCTGCTACCCAGTTGGCTGAATTTAGGGGTTTGCTCTGAATTGCAAGAATAGATAATGCATAAACTTATTAAAATTCAGCGTGCATCTTATTTGTATAAGTCAGTTGCACCACTTGCGGTATTTGGTGATAGTCAAGAGAAACTGGCTATTTGAAGGATGTGGGAACTTCAGAATTTGCTAACTCCAGAGACCATAGCTTGAATGAGCAGGAAACAAGGTAGCCTTGGAACAGTCTAGAAGCAGGACATGCAATAGCATTGTTTACAGGAGGAATCTGACTAGGATATTGCCTATTGCTTCCACCATTGTCCATGAACTCTAGCCATCCTTTCAACTTTCTGTCCCTTATTCAGCAATGAAAGTCCCAAGCAAGAACATCCTGTTAGCTGAGGCTTTGCCATAGGTGTGTGTACCCTGGTGAAGAGAGCAGGGAGAGGACAAATCTAGCCTTTTTTCCCCTGTAGGCTATACACAGTGGAAGGTTCCCCACCTGATTTGAAAGAAAGTGGATTTCTAGATAGATATATAACTTTTTAACATTTTATTTTTAAAAATCAAGATGTTTCTGAGACATATAGTTGAAGCTGGAGAATCCCAACCCTTAGAGCATTATTTGGGTTAGCTTGGAAAAGAAAAATGACATTTCTAATTCCTAATATGTACATTTAAATGAATAATAACTACTGAATAGGATTATGTTGAGCTACTATTTATAATGCCTTAAAGACAGTAAGTATTTGCATGCAATTTAATGTACTACTTTTTCTGCTTGGGGCAACTTATGGTTTGATTGGTATGATTGTAATATTTTTTTAAAAGTTAATATTAGCTTGCTACATAGTGATTCTGGTTCACCGCTGTACAATTTTAAAATAAATGGTAGAGTTTGATTTTTTTTTTTTAACTCTTCAACAGACAGGCTAGCCTTAACGAAGCCGCCGAGAAGTATTATGATCTGGCAGCCAGACTAAGACCTAATGTAAGTACTTTTCTAATGAGAAACATTACTCAAAGGGATGGATTCACAGCAGGTGATAGCTTTAGATACAGAAGCCTCATGATACTAGGCTTTTTCCCTCTGATCTCCTATTCTTGAATACTCACTAAATGGCTAATTCAACAATCACATCTGCCCGGCTCAAGCTTCTTTCTTTTTGCAGAGGTACAAATTGCTGTTTTTCTATCCTGTGTAAAAAGCACCATGCGGCTTTATCATTTGAATACAGGTTGTAGCATTATCAAATACTTGGCATTTGGTTGGCTTTTCAAAGCAGTTCCTTGAAAGTGTTTTTCGCTGTGGTGTTAAATACCTCAGGACTTCCTAACATCATACACTTTTTTCTTTTCTTTTTTTGATCCTTATATACACTCAGACCTCGAGTTGGGCTTCTTTCCTCTTCCACAGTCCTCATTTCTAATAACGATGCTTTTCAACCTTATCAAGTATGTTTTTATTAGAATTTTTCCCTGGGTAGTCACACTTCCATAAAGTGGGATGGATATAAATTAGATCATTACTATTGAAATAGAGGAGCCATTTATGAGAAAATCAGAACTGGTTTTATATCTGTCTTCTAAGCACTTTTTTATTTGCCGCACATCACCGACCTCCAGCGCGTTGCTTTTATTCTCATACGCACTGCTCTGCATCACCCTCCAACACTAAAACCTTCTCCCCTTACTCTCTGGGTCTAGACCATCTATTGAGAAATGTAATTTTGAAACAGTAATGAAAGTGCATGTGTGACGTGACTACAAATAGTGGGATAAGTCTCATTTCTATACAGTAACTCATCCCACTGGGCAAACATCTAGAGTGCCTGCTTTGTGATGGGATACAGAGATTTAATTCCCTAAAAGACCACATAATGTAGCAGAGAACACTGAAAATAATCAACTAGTTGAAATACGATGTGGCAGTTCCTACACAGAGGTATACACAGTCCTGTGGGAACACAAAAGAAGAGAATTAATGCTCCCTGAACCCGATCCACAGGGGGAGAAGCTTTTTTTTTCCCCAAGCAGATAAAACCACATGTAACCTTTGCCCTGAATGTTGGTGTCCCCGGTTTCATTACTTATGAGGTACTTCAGAAATTGGTGAGCTGTTTGCAACAGAAGAAAATAATTTAATAGTTATAATGGTAAGAACAATAACAGCTCAAATTTATTGCACACTGATTATGCGTCAGGCATCGTGCTAAGTACTTCACGTGAATTCCCGCATTCATTTCTCAGAACAACCCACAGGTGCTTCTGTGGTCCCCACTCTGCCCAAGCCCAGAGAAATTAGTAAGTCCCTCATCACCCCAGCTGGTAAGTGGGATCCCATTGTAACTCAGGCTGCTCGGTGCACAAGAGAAAGCTTGAGGGGAAATGCAGTTACATCATAGGAAATGCAAGCCAGAAGACTGGGAAGCGAAAATAATAATCATCCTCTCATTTATGTATTCAGTAAATATTTAGAGTACCTGGGAAGTGCCCGCAGCATTCCAGGCACTACATACACGGAAGGGCACAAAATTAACTAGAGTCCCTGACCATTAGGAGCTTACCATCTAGTCTGAGAAGACGAAGTAGAAAAACCAGTAAAGCATATACGGTATCAGACAGTGATAAGTGCTTTGGGGAAAAATGGCAGGATAAGGGACTTACTTAGGAGGTGCAGTGGGGAGACAGGCAGGAGGCATAGCTTTATAAATGCCCAAGATGGGCATCTTTGTATAGCATTTCCAATGGTTGAATATGAGTTCTTGAATTTTTTTTTTTAGATTTATTTTAGAGAGAGAGGAGGGGCACATGCACACCTGTGTAGGGAGCAGGGGCAGAGGGAGAGGAAGAGAAGAAGTAGACTCTGTACCTGAGCATGGAACCCAGTGTGGGGCTTGATTTCAAGACCCTGAGATCATGACCTGAGCCAAAAACCAAGAGAAGGACGCTTAACCGGTTGACTGGGCCACCCAAGCCCCCCAAGATCTTTATTATAACTTCATCGAGGGCAAGAATCAGGGTTTTTTGTCTTTCTTTCCTTTTTTTGTTGTTCCCTTCACATGGATGAATATAATGACGTTCTGTTCAGCCTTTACTCATTGAGTACCAGTCACTTAAATGTCACTTTTATTTTTGTTAAGTGGTTGATCAAATGGTCTTCTTCAACACATTATAACAGAATAGTGAGCACAGAGCTATCTGAGCTGTCTGACCTGACCTAAAAAAAAATGAAAAAGACACTGAGGCACCCCAGATTTAAACCAGACTCATGAGACTGTTTATTTTAAATGGCCAGCCAAATCATAAAATCAACATTTAATCTTCCAATTAAAAGCCATTTTTTCTGAAATCCCAAAAAGTTTCTTCATAAACATGCTGCAGACTGTTTTTGAAAAACACGTTTATTCAAATGCTACTTCCTTTATCTAAAAACAATAAGTATTTTATGGATTTGGTTAGATTAGGAAGCTCAAATTTAACAGTGAGTAAACGATGCTACAGTTGTGGGTCACCCGATGGGCAGATGGGGTCTTTCCCTAATCTTTTTTATGAATTGTGTTTTGGGTTTCCTGTATGTATATAGAATAAGCAAGATGCCACCGTGGCAAGACTCATAAAGACACGGGCAATAATAGAAGTTTGTGTTCTGAACCAAGGAGACCTGTTTAAACAATAGTCCCCGTAATGATTTATTAGCGATTAGCATCTGATCCAAATTAAAGCATCCATCTAACATTTATCTTGATCATAGTTGTTCTTCCCTTTGCCCTAAGAACCTTCTATGTTATTTCTGTGTTTTTGCTGAATAAATTTCAGTTCCCTGCTTATAAAAGGACCTAGTAAACAGACCTCCATTCTCCTCTATTGCAGTAGTTTCACTGTCTTTTCATTTCTCTTGTCTACACAGTAATCTAATCTTATTTTTCAAAAGGGCATTTTCTTCTATTGTTTGAATGTCCAACTTTCACAATCAGTAGCTGTATGTGGAGGACCCTGTGGGTGTTTTAGCAATGTTCATGTCAGATCGTGACTATCCACAGTAAAATATGCGGCTGTAACCCTGTGCACTGCCACTTATTATCATCGTATTGAAAGCATTGTTATTTGTGGAATATATTTCTCTCTTAATAAAAAACCTATTCCACTTCTTCAGTACATCCCGTGGTGAATTTCTTTATTTAGTTTATTCTACAAAAGCCCTATTTTTTCATACAATTTGCTTTAAAATTACAAATGGACTCCTTGAAAAATTTTATATGCAAAGAATTCCGGTGATCAAATGCTAAAGTAATAGAAGTCTAAATTAGCATGCACATATAATTTTCAGTGTTAGATTATGATATTGTTTCATCAGGGATATTCAGTACATTGTCATTTATTAAAGTATACAGCTAGAGAAATATATTTGTTACTAAAATGAGACCATTAAATTTTTAATCCTATTTATTTGACTTTCTGGGGGGTAGACGGGAAAACCCTAGACTTACTCCTCATAGTACAGTAAAACATAGTACAGTTTTATAATGGGAAAACTCTTGACCAAAATTGCGATTTTAAGTTTTTCCACTTTCATTTTTCATTTGTGTAAATAAGATTGATCTCTCTGTGGAGGTTACTTTAAAAAGATAACACTCTTGTCTTCCCTCTCACTTATGAACATCAAAAAGTGCTGACTCTTGAGGACTAGAGGGAACATTTAAATGAAACAATTTTGTTCCTCCTGTGGGAATTAAGCCAAATTCTGCATTAACTTATAGATTTTTAATTTTTTTTCTAATGTGAAGAATGGGTAATTTGCATAGTACAAAGTCACCCCCACTGTACTTGGCTTTTAGTGAACTCTAGAAGTTAGGGTAATTACTAATGATTAGGTCTATATATCTTGTATTTTTCCGGATGTAGTTGTTTTTAGCCTGATTTCATTTAATTTATTTTGTATCAGGTTGCAGCTTTGTGTAAGACTCTATGCCAAGTGCAGAGGGATTTCAAAGTTATGAAAAATTAACCCTGACCTTGGGAAATGTACTATCTAAATGCAGGGAGGGAATGGAGGAGAGAACGCGTGGATCCAAATTCTCACAATTCAGGCCAGCAAATAATACTATGTTATAAGTACTTTGTGAGTGATGGAAGGTAGTGCTAGAAAAGTGTGCAGGAGAGAAAAATTACTTTCAACAGGTTGGTCCTAGAAGGCATTGTGTCAGAGTAGGAAAGTTAGATAATCACGAGATGATAGAATGTTTATAGGTGAAGATTTTAGCAAGAGAAGGAGAGAAGAGAATTTGGGGAAGAGGCAGGTAGAGGCATATGTGTGAATAAGGAGATGGTGCTGAGAAAACATGAACATAGGCTCAAGAAACAGTAAACAAGAGTTTATATTGCCCTGGGGCTAGGGGCAGAGAAGACAAGCAGGGGAAGATAGAACTGGAAATGAAGATAAAACCAGATGAAAGGCATTGCATACCTCCCAAGAATTAGAGTTTGCATTCCTACCTAACAGGATGACGTAATGAAAGTGATAATTTAGGATGGCCGTTTATAAGATGTAATGAGGAATGTGGGTTGCGTTGGGGAAAGTAGAGTTGCAAGAAGCCACCTTGAGAAAACCAAATAAAAAGATACCGTAATAGTTTAAGCAGAAGGTATAATCTGAAAGTACAGAAACACAATGGAGTGGAAAAGAATATGCAGGGAAAATAAATGGATTATTTGATGGGATGTGAATAGGAAAATCGGTTGGCCTGATGAATGTTCCAAAATTTGGAATATAGGTAACTCGGAAAAAGGAAAAACAAGGACCCCAGTCAGAAGCAGGGCAGTCAGTCAGAAGAGCATGTTTATTTCAAGAAAAACAATGTTAAGTTTGGACTGAACTGTTTCTAAATGAGAGGATATTATCACTGTCCAGGGGACATTCCTATCAAGGAGGCAGTCACAGGGAAAGGCCATAGCTAGGAATAGAGATGTGGGATTATTTGCAGAAAGGAG